TTCACAGCAACTTGGATGCATTTAGAGTCTACAATACTCAGTGATCTATCACAGAAACAAAGACAGAGTACTATATATTCTCACTCATAAGCGGACCCAGGGAATATTTACTGTAATGCTGTAAGAAGGGGATTGGCAATAGCAGGATACTGCTAGAGCAGGGGAGGGGAACACAACATCAATAAGGGTAACTGATCTCTTCATAATTTTTTTAATGTTTCAATTTTTGTTTATCTATCTATTTATTTATTTATTTATAGTTTTTATTTTTTGAATTGGAGTCTTACTCTGTCACCCAGGCTGGAGGGCAGTGGCATGCTTCTGGCCCCCACAGTCTCAACCTGCTGGGCTCAGGCAATCCTTCCACCTCATCCTTCCAAGGAGCTGAAACTACAGGCATGTGCCACCATGCCCAGTTAATTTTTTTTAAAAAATTTATTGTAGAGATGAGGTCTCACCAAGTTGCCCAGGCTGGTCTCAAACCCATAGGGTATCTGATCTCAAACTAGGCAAAATGGGGACCAAAGGGAGGCCCAAATTTTACCTGTACAATGTCCATTTGTAAACCTAATCCTGAATTGTAACACATATCTTTAAAATTAAATTAAATTAAGATATTTTTAAAAATACAAGATACTTGAATATTTGGTCAGATTATCTTTGACATTTATCAAAATATACCTTCTCTATTCTCAGCAGAGAGAGAGAGAGAGAGAGAGAGAGAGAGAGAGAGAGAGAGAGAGAAAGGGAACAGCAGAGGAAGATTGAAAGCATTTGGGAAAGCCTGCTGTGAAAACGCCAGGCCCTTCTTGGGGCTGAGGTTGTCAACATACTCCTAGTCACAACTATTGTTGGACTATATCAGGAAAACAGTATACTTGTGTGTGAGAACTGGTGTGGGATGGGGGGATCAGGATGTTAAGAAATCTAACAAATTCATATGATTTTTTTTAAAAATTGGAGAGTATTGTGTTTATACATGCTGGGCAACATAAACCATAAACCTTGCTGGATTTTTGCAAACTGCTGTGTGAAGCATACAAATGACATTCCTGTCAATGGGAGGAAGAGACAGACTGAAACCAAGACAGAGATAGGCAGCACCCACAGGACATGAAGCTTGTTCTTATTGCAAGCTGCAGTGGAAGGAGATGATGACATCCAGAACAAAATGCCTTTTTCACAAGGGTGCTAAAGCTCTTGCTTTGTGATCTCTGTGTACAGAAAGAATGATCAATGGAAAGGAGTTAATTCACCCCTTTTTTAAAATCCAAATATATGGACTTTTGAGTTATTTTAAACTTCTTCCTGTAGAGCCCATTGTGTGTTCCATGAAACAGACAAAACTCAGCAAGACAACAAAGACTTGATCTGCAGAAGAGAAGGTATTAAAGAGCAGGTCCTCACCAGAGGGTAATTAATCCTTAGTCATTCATCTTAGAAGTCTCAGTTACAGTTAAGGTTAACGTTCAGGTAGCTTCTATTTTCTTTAAAAAATTTTTTTAAACATTTTTTTTTTCAGAATGTTATACTATTAATTGCCAATTTGCATATGTGTGCAGCTGCTGTTTTGGCTCTGAACTCAATCTGATAAGCTTGCTGGAGGTATCGCAGAGCACTTGGCAGCTTTCCTATTTGAAAAGAAAGCCTCTCCCCACTACAGAACAGCTGATCGTCTATCAGCGATAGACCCTGATGGCGTGAATTACAATTACACTACTTTTCACACTAAATCTGGGTGATAGCTACTTGGAAAGAAGTTTCATCATTTTTTACCACAAACTGGAAAAAGAATTACATGGTCATGCTGTGCTTTTAAAGGCAGTTTGGTTCACTTTTGTCTATTTAACACCTAATTCCAAGAAGTCCATAGGCATCCAGAGATCTGAATGGTGCGTAATGAATTCACTGTTTAGATTGAAGATTTTAAAAATCTACCTCAAATTACATTTATTAACAAGGCGACCAGGAAGTGTTAAAGTTGTTAGACGCTTCATTTATTAAATAATTTGTGGGTATTTTCAGTTGTCATATCTAGAGTCATGGGGTTTGCTTATTTTTTTTAATTAGCAATCCAAAACAATGCTACTGCAATTTAACAATTCATCACATAATCTTGGGCTCTTCGGTTCAGCTGTTAATGTTAGATAATTCAGATTGTTATTTTGATCTGTTTATAAATGATTTTGGTTGCATGTGCTGCGAGGAGAACTGCAGCAGCCCAGGCAGATGATCTTCCTCATTTTTCTTGCTTGCTCAGGATAGTTGAGGGGCCTTCCAAAAAATGCATTTTGGGAGTTACGTTTACATCTGGCAGGAGCAAACAAGTGATGGGGGCAGAGGACACTAATAATAACTTGGTTTATTATCATCACTGAGTTAACTTTATTATTAATTTGCATTCCCTGTCTGTTTGGAAAACTGAGGAAGGGCCTGTTAGCCAAAGTACATTTTATTAGACTCCCCCATTTCTCTCGTTTTCTGGGACGTTAGAAAGTTCCGTCTGTCTTCTGCTTGAAAGAATCAGTCAAGACATCAAAAAATTTAAGAGGCTCCTAAACATCTCTCTTCTTTCTCCTCTCAGTCCTCCTCCCTCCCATCTTGACATTTAAATCCATTTGTTAAAAAAAAAGAACCAGAGTTAAACCCACCTCAGGTAGCAGAAGTGGAACACACTAATCCTGAAGTAGTGCACCTAAGAGAAAAATAGACTTTGTTTTCCTTTTATAGTCGCTAGCTTTATTAGATTTCTCACTCTCACAGATTATCCGAAGACTACCCATTGATTGATCGCCCGTAGAGCTGCATTTGGTGCAAAGAAAAAACTCACAGCTTTATTGGCTCCCAGGAGACAAAACAAACAGAACAAGATATTCATATTAATGCAAACAATGCCACCAATGAGGGGGAGAATCGCCCGGCGGGAGCCGGCACGCCGCGGCCGCGGCCGGGCCCGAGAAGGGCCTGGGCACCCCCG